AAAAAAAAAAAAAAACCGGTGGCTTTTCCAGTGAGGCACGTTGTTTAGGACTCACACCGGGTTTCCCCTACAGCTGCTTCTCTGCTCCCGCAGAGCAGCCCGGCCTCCCACGGCAGAGAGACGTGCGGGGCATTTGGAGAGCGTGAAGCCCAACGCGTGGCTCCTCCACGCCGCTCCACTCCCCCGCGGCGGCCGCCGACGAAGCTCCCCATTCCCCGTTGTGATTTGCATGCCTCCTCCACTTCCTGCTGCAGAGCCAGTTCTGCAGCCTACCTGGGAGAGGAAGGGAGGCTGTCGTAAAAGGAGGAAAAAAAAAAACGGCCGAGGAGGGAGAGCCGGGTGAACGCGGAGCCTGCAGGATTCGCTCCAGCCCTGTCCCCTTCCCGCTGAGCTCAGGGCGAGCGTCCCTCAGCCCAAGGTAAGGAGAGCTGAAGACGCTGCGCTTCTCGGTCCCTGCCCGCAGTGAGCTGCTGACCCACTTTTGGCTCTCGGTGAATGTTTTTTTTTTCCCCTCAGATTTCTCTCTCCCTCCCTTTTTTCCCCTTCTCTCTCGTTCTAACGATAGGCTGACTTTCACAGATGGTCACAACATGTTTCAGCCATTTCACGGCAGTCTGGTTTTTGTTGTTGTTGGGTTGTTTTTGTTTTTGTTTTCTGATCAGGAGAGTTTTGGGGTAAGCGCTGGAAACGGACACGCCTGGTGTTGAAATGCTGTCCTGCCTATTTGCGTAGCTGCCTGGCAGTGCCTGTAGCCAGGTCCCATCCCGCTCCCTCCCCACACGGCTGTATGAGCCCAGGGCAGCTTATGCCCTCTGGCACAGAGCTGGGGGTGGTCGTGGGGACCTGGGCCTCACAGTTCCAGGGCAGCTCCCAGCAGTGCCAGACAGGCCCTCGGACCTACTGAGAGCAGGAAGAAAGCAGGTTTCTAGGCCCAGCTTGCTCAGCCCTCCACGGTGTTGGTATGGAAACGGTGGGAGCGAGCCGGTGGCATTGCTTTTTAATTACAGTACAATCAGCTGTGTAAAAATGACTCTAATTTCAAACAGCAGCCGTTTGTTTCAGGACATGGGTTTTGTGGGGCTGAGTAGTGAGAACTGTAGGTTTGGGCTAACTGATCCTCAGCCACCACTGAGAGACCAGAACTGCCCAGTCCTGCATACCCCAGGCAGGCTGGAGGCCTGGCCTGGATGCTGCTGTCAACTGCACGTGTGCATCCATCTCGTCAGCCCCACTGCCTTGAGACAGAAGGCCTGTTGTTCTGTGGGTAGATCCCAGGTGTGCCCCCACAGCCCCCTGCATGCCCAACCACTTACTGTTGGGCAGGTCCCTGGGAAGTGGCCTGAGGCTGTGTCAGGTCAAGGAGATGAAGCAGCATTTAGCAGTGCAGTGGGCAGAGTGAAGGTGACGGTGTTGGATCAGGACCCATGCCCACAGGGATACCTGATCCCTCACTGATGACAGTTTTAAAATGCTTGTTTCTCTTTAGCAAACCACTTCAGGAATGCCCTCTTCCATTTCAGACAGGCTCTGAGTTTTCCTTTGCTGGCCTTGGCCACAGGCTGCGTACGCTGTGAGGGGTTTGTGTAGCAGGGTCAGCTGTTGGGCAGCCTCTGCTGACTGTGCTGCTGCCTGTGATATCCTCACACTCTGAGGTCCTGCTGAGTACCAGCTATATTTTGAAGCATATAGTACTTTAAAAAAAAAAAAAAAAAAAAAAAGTGTTTTTTTTTTTCCACTAACCTTTTTAAAGAAGGAAACAAGTGTGTGAGATTATGGTGTCTGTGTCAGTCAGTGTCCCTCACCATTAGCAGTGGCTTTTGAAGTTTGGCAGAGGGTACGTGTCTGTGAGATGTACACATTTCTGCACGTTTCACAAAGCAAATGAGTGAGCGTGAGAAAGGCTGTTATCACAGCAGCTGAGGGAGACGTGTCAGGTCCGAGTGTTCTCCACACACTCCCACCACCCACACACCCAGCAGCCTATGCTGCAGAGGGCAGAGTGGTTAGGGGCAAGCACGTCAGCCTTCAAGATGCTGGAGATGTTCCCTTGTTAGGAACTAGATGCTCCAATGAAAGTACAAAGCTATAGGAAAAGAGGCTTTCGTGGTCCCCAAGGAGGTTGGCTCCTCTCGGGGTGGTCTTCCCATGCAACGCCACTCAGCTGTCCCCAATTTTTGCCTAATGGTTATGTGCTTTTCAGATGTAGTGGGCCTGTGAGATATCCCAGTATGGGGGTTATTTGGTGTCAATGGAAAACTAATCAGCATCAGAAATGGGTGGAAAGTAATCTCTGGGAAGCAAACACATTTTTAAAATGCTTGTAAGTAGATGTCTAAGATCATTGCAGCCATTTTCATATTTCATAAGTACTGGAAAACTAGCAGGGAATTCTGCCTATAGTTGAGGTTCCTGCTTGGATGCTTTTTAAGAGTGTTGCGCTTTTAGTTTATATAACAGCCTTTCTCACGCTCACTCATTTGCTTTGTGAATTTAGTTAATGCTTGTTATATGGTTTCCTTTTACGCACATTTCAGAGTGTATATTCAGAGAGGTGTAGAGATGCTAGTGCTGCAAAACAGAATATTATATTTGCTAGGCAGGGAGGTGTGGAAGCATGTTGCCTTGTTTTCCTGGTGTAGGCAGACTTTTATGCCATGGCTGCAACCATAGTAAAAATGGAACAGAAATGTTGTTTCCATATCACTTTTCTTCTCTCAGAAGTTGTGAAAATAAACCTTACCTGCCCTAGGGAGTTTAAAATCTGGGCTCAGAATGTGACATGTTACTTTGGTCTTACCTTGGGAAGGTACCCAAGGGAGAGGGTAAGCATTCGTGATGACAACAGCTCAAATTCTTTGTGGTGAAGTGAAACTACTCAGCTTGGTTTTCCTTGGCTCTTTTTGTTTAGGTTGCAGACTCAAAACAGCTCCCATGTTTGCACTTAGAATGACTTGGATGGGAAGGGACCTCAAAGCCCATGCAGTCCCACCCCCTGCCATGGGCAGGACTGCCCCCCTGAGTTCAGCTGCCCAGGGCCCCATCCAGCCTGGTGTTGAGCGCCTCCAGGGATGGGGCACACACAGCTTCTCTGGGCAGCCTGTGCTGGTGTCTCACCGCCCTCTGAGTGAAGAAGTCCCTCCTGATGTAAACATAATGGTTGCTCTTCCTAAAAGGATTTGTCTCTGTTCTTGTGAGGAAAGTTGAGTCTGGTATCTCTGTAGAGAAAGCTGTGCTTAACATGATCTGCTTACGCACTTAGACTTATGTGACCCCATCTCAGCACTGGTTGCAATCTCGATGATGCGTGTATCCTCATGACAGCTTGCAAGTTCTGCATCCAATTACTCCCATCTTACAGATGGATGTTTGCAGCACCAGAGAGCTTGAATGATTCAGACAAAGTACATAGGAACTGTTTGGAAATGAAAAAGTTCCCATCAACCCTCAGCCCTTGTGATCACAACTTTGCCTTAATCTAAACCCATGTTATTTCAGAAATATTACGGTTGGTGAATAAAAGAACCTTCCCTTGCCTGCTGTGCACCAAGAAAGGTGAGGTTCCTTTTTCATCCAAATGTTTTCTTTTTTACTAGTGTATGCAAATAGATCCTTGATCAAAAGATTAGAGATGGCTTTCCCCCTCTCTGAAAGTGGCAGGAGTGCAGATACACTGTTGCAGATTTCCTCTTCTGTTTATTCACTGACAGAGCTTTTCTAATTAGAAACAGATCGATGGTTAATGTATGCATTGGGGTGGTGCATTGAGACAAGACTGGGGAAGAGTCTGTTCCCCTCCCATTTATGCAGCTGTCCAGAGGTGGCTGTCACCAGCCTCGTGCATGTCCCAGAGAAGAGGCATTTGGTGGAACGGCACCAGCAACTCCCCCTCTGAGAAATGAAAGAGCTCAGGCTCTGGGAAACCTCACAGGAGAACTGGACAGCATTTCTGCCCACAAACCTGGGTCACTGCATGGTGGGTTGCTGAGCACCCACCCAAGAGGCTTTCTGCTGATTTGACGCACACTGAAGAACTGCATGCATGAGGAGAGGAAGGAAGAGAAAGAAAATGGATGTTGAAGGAGTTCCCTCAGCATTTCTGAGAGCAGCCCAGGCTTGGCCACTCTATCCCTTTAGGAAGGGCCTCTTCTTTTTATTGCAAGCAGGAATATAAGCAAAAGCTCCAGCTGGTTATCAGTAATCTCCTGCATAGTCATCGGTGCAGGGGGTATATTAAATTCTTGAAGCTTCCTGGCAATATCGTGATCTGACTTGAAGCTGCAGTGTTGTTGGAAATGAGGTCGCGCATGGTCTACATTCTTCAGTGGTTTTGGTGCCAGAAAAGGGATCAGGCTACAGGTTTCTTAGGATATTTTAGTATGTTTACCCTAATTCTTCAACACTAGGGACTTAAGCAAGTTTTTTTTTCTGTCCACTGCTTGACTGTACTTGCAAGATAAGCTCTACAAAAAAGTCAGAGGAGACCTAATGAAGTTGCAGTGCACGAGGCTACATAAAATACTGGGATAATGGGCTCAGTGTTGGGTCTTTTTCCAGAAGCTGAGGATCTTCAGCAGTGCAAAGCCAATGTCCTGACACACTGTTGTTAGAGGAGGAATGTTTCTGAATCATCTCTATCATTTCCAGCAGTGAGGGGATTTCTCCTGGGAATTCCCATCCAAATACTACTACCAGCATTGCTCAAAGCATGCAGCACGTCCCAGGGTTAACTTACCCTTGGGGCTGTCTCTACAGACAGAACTCTGCTGTTCTGACAGCCTCCCTTGCCAAGCAGAGCTATTGAGAGAGGAGGAGATTTGTGTGAAGTCACTGCTTCTCCTTTGCATTGATGTGTCTCTTCTAACACCAAAGGCCCCTCAGTGCCTCCTGCCTCAAGCCCACAGGAGTAGGACTCTGCAGAGGTGTCAAAGCTCAGCCTTTGCTCAGCTACAGTGTGGCAGGAGTTAAGCAAAACAATATTTAAAAAGCTAAAAGCTTTTCCAGGGAAATATATAACAGGTGGAATCAGATCTCATTTCTGTCTGACCAAATTATTTTTGTTCAGATATTTGGGGTAGTTTTCATAATGTTCAGCACATGTTACATAGGAAGGAGATAAGGTAGTCATTTAAGTCATTAAGCCCTTTTAGAGGGCCAAACTAATAGGAAAAACATCTTAAACTGTTCTGAAGTGAGCCATTTGAAGTGTTTGGTAGCAGTAATTGTGGAATATCTTAATATTTTAGATCTCCCTCATCTGAAAGGAATAGTTATATGAAAACTTGAAAATAATTTTGCATTTGTCCTGCCCACGTTGTGCCTTGCATTAAGTTCACATAGTCTGCGCATAATCCATTTTGCAGATAGCCATTGTTAATGATGGAACAGCAAAAAGGCAAAATGCTTGGAAGGTTGTATCTTCCAGAGGAATTCAGTAGTTCTTAAATCCTTGACACCTGCTGAAGTCAACAAAGAGACCCCTGTTTACTTCCCCATGCTTTGGACTGAGTTCTTGGTTTCTCTGTAGAGAGTCTGTTCTTTTCATGGAACTAAACCAATGGCCTTTAGGTATAGTGGATCTGGATACAGTGTGGTTTCTAGCTTTTTGATCTGACTGTTTCAGAGAACATGAAGAAATGCCATTGTGTATCAGGCCTTGCAGATTTGTTCCTGAAGTGCCGTGTTTGGTGTTTGTGAAGAATTCTACCTGCTGGTAAGGTGCTCAGACAACACATGTTGCTCAAGGGGAGCAGCCATGCCCAAGCACCTGCAGCTGAGCTTGCCCTTTCTGAAGAAGAACCACCTCATTGGAGCTGCTCAATGAGGGATTAAGAGTGTGCAGTATGATTTGTGCCAGCTGAGCTCAGGACCCTGCCTTCTGTCAGAGCAGCAGCATGTTCGCTGTGCTGGTGTAGCTAATGGCTGCTCAGAGGGCTTGTCTACATGGGAAAATTTGCCAACATCATTATGCTGCTATAATTATCCCAGGAAAATTCTCCCTGTGGATGTTCTTCTTATAGCATAGGATGTGTATCTGGAGTCTGTGGTAGATCTGCATAGGTGGGTTTTATGTTACACAGAGGAAGAATATTTACATTGCAGCCCAGCAGCAGTAAAGCACAGTTTTTATCCTACTTTCCAGTAAATGTTATATTGAGAGTTTGCTATACCAGAGGTACTTTCAGGGGGGAATGCACGTCACTTGATCTGATCAGCACAAACATAAAGCCTTGCTCTTGCCCTGTGGGACTGGGCACGTTCTTTGCTTCTGTAGGATATGGCTGTAGGAGCCAGGGTAAAGGCTGGGACGCTGCCTTATACCTCTCTGTGATCCTGTTCAACTGTTTTTAATGCTGTGACTGTCTGAGTATGTTCTTCATTTGAACTTTCTGTTCAAGCTTCTGTGTGACTGAAGCTGAATCCTTGAATCACTGAGATTTGACTTTCCTTACCAGGCTTTTGAGTCAGATTCTCTTGTCAAACACTGCCATTTCCATTGCTTAGACGGTTCTTCAGTAATGCTCCTTCTTGGGATTTTGGCTTTTTCCATGTGGTAGAAGGCAAACAGCTGGAGTAATGAGTCCCAGACTTGTTTCTCTGTACCCCATGTCAGGGGATAGCATCTGATGGGAGCAAGTTAATCTCACCCCAGTACCAGAGGATGAAGATGGCTGCAGAGATCAGCGTGTTGATATTAAACGTGCTGATCTATTTCTGTGCCAAAGTCTGGGAATCAAGGGCTTGGGTACGGGAAGCAGAACAGCTGCATCAGCACATTGCTCTGCTGTGCTTTGGCCTTGGTTGCCTCCAGCTCAGGGTGAAGGACCAGGGGTGTTTTCCACTTCCTGCTTGAGTTCAGTGACCATCTGCTTGAGCTTCTTCCCTCTGTGATACCCTGTGGCATATAGATATGGAAACTGATAGTGAATGAATGTTGTACCGTAAGCTTCTGCTGGTCCACCTGTGAAGTTCAAGAGTGTCACAAAGTCCTTTCTGAGCAGCCCAGCAGGACAGAGAACACTGAAGCAGAATGAAACCATGCTTGTGTTTTCCAAAGATTTTTTAGGTCCAGCAGTGTTTTGTTTCAACATAAATGGGATGCTGTGTGTAAGCCTGCAGTAAGGCTTGTACTTCTCGTTCCAGTGGGTGAGTACAACAAGAGCACATCACTCACCTGTCATTGCTGCTGTCATTCTAAGCGAAGGTGGAGTAGAGGCATCTGTCATTAGGGACTGTTTGGCTGGGCCAAACTTACTGGCAGTATCCCCAAAGGGAAGGGAGGATTTTGATGTCTGGCGCCCAAAGTAATTCTGAAGAAAGGGAAAAAAATAATCCAAACAGTAACCAAAGTCTCTAAATTGTCTTATAATTCTCAATAATTTGAAATAATAACCATGTTATAATAGAATGGATTAACTGGTTTGATAAAATAAACAGTGACACTTGGAAGCCAGCTGTAGATTTGAAATTGCTCAGCTAGGTGTGGAGTGAAGTTCAGATCCAAGGGATCGGTACAAAGCTATTATTAGAAGGTCTGAAGTAAAATATGGCACGTGATTGAATTCCTAGGAATATGCCTGCGCCAGATCTCCATACTTACACAGCCTTCTCTTTTTTCAGGTGCAGAAATTACCTATAAGAGACAGTTCATGTGCTTCTTTTTCCCATTGTCTCAGCAGGAACAGTAAAATTGAGAAATCCCATAAAAGTGTCTGTTTTACAAAATGTAATTTCCAGAAATCTAACCAGTATTTCTTTTCCAGTCCCTGAGGTAGAGTTATTTTGGGATTATTGCTTTTGTGAAGCTGTACCATGCTCACAAGAGTACTTTCTCTTGTTTTCCAGTGTGCTGGAAAATTCTGACCTTGCAGCACGGCAGTTGACTCCCGTTCCTTGTGTGACTACGAAACTGGGAAATGGCCTCTGTGTCAGGTTAGTCCAAACTATAACACTGTGCTACCTGCACTCCAGCTAAGCCTCCGCTTTACTCCTTTGCCAAAAATTTCTACCCATTCTTCTAAGAAAAACTTAATGTGAATACAAAGAATGCATACTGCTCTTCAGTATTCCAACTGGCAGTCGTTGAGCAGTGACTGATAGTAGGCATTTATCTTTCTGGAGGTCAATCTGTAGTGTTTCTTCTCTGTTTTTTTCAGGCGCTTTTGTGAGCCGAAGCATACCAGTGGAAGTGGATGAATCCATGTTGTATTCCCCATTTCCTGAACCTGCCCTGGAAGAGGCTTCACAGCCTTCTGTAGAGAATGTGGAGGATGAGGAGTGCCACAGACCATGTGCCAATCCAGCACATCTCTGCAGAGCACTGGCACATCACCAGCTGGCCACGGAGCCGGACAGCAGGCCGTGGTCGGAATATACCAATCCTGATGAATGTGGGCGTTTCTGTTCCCCCAGTGAATCAATACTGGAAGTAGTTCATTCCAAGATGCATCTTTTAACTATGGACAAATCAGGCATGCAGCCAGGACCACTGCTTTCAGCCGATATCAACTCCAGTAAGTCAGAGCAGAGCTTGCATGATTCTCCCGAGGACTCATTGGAGGAGAACAACAAAAGGAGTTCATGGTCACAGCAGCCTTCAGGAAACAAATTCCCAGCAGAGCTGGCAACTGAGGACACGGGTTACAACTCCCAGTCCCAAGACATCATGGGTGTCAGGCACCTGGAGCTCCCCTTACCACTTGTGTCCATGGTGAACCCCCAGGACCTTCCAGGACCTCTGATCTCCAGAGAGTTTTTTGGACCTGAGCCTCAGCAGCACCCCAGGTGCCAGCACTTGCCCCATCCCAACCCCTCTGCGCAAGCCTATGGCTTCTGTGGGCACCACTGTCTGGCAGAGCAGCACCTGCATGGCCCACGTAAGTAGCACCGCTCACCCTGAAGGAGGTTTTCTGGGGGCACTGCAGCCATCATTCACTGAGCTGGCATATTCCTACTGTATTTCCTTTGCAGCATGCAATTATTAACGTGTGTAAAAAAAAATGATTTGCAGTCCATTTCATATTTCCAGGTTTTAGGGTTATTCAGCCAGACTGTCTGATGCAAAACCTCTGAGCCAGATAGAAAATTAAAGAGCTCGCAGTTACTCATCAAATAAAGGCTAATGATTTTGCCTAGAAACTAGCTGTTGTCAGTCATGCTGAGCACACACAGCCTTCTGCCTGCTGTTATTTCATATTCTAGTCATTTTCTTCCTCCTTGCATCAGTCATTCTGCAACCTCCTCTATTGACTTAATTCCTGTTGTTTCCCTGGATTTCCTTGCTCCAGCTTGGATCCCCAAGGTTGAGATTTCCTGCCAGAATCAGAATGGGTAGTTACCCTTGATCTCTTTAAACAATATCTACCAGCTCTATGACCAAACTAATGCATGTGTTTCATTTTTGTATGAAAAGAGCGTGACATTCATCAACCTCATTTTTTCTGCTGTCAGCTGAAATGAAAGTCCATTACTTAAAATGGACCCCGCTCAGCTGCTGGTGATTGTATCACTGAACACTGATGTGACTCAGTCAATATGGGTGTTTTGGCTCTTGGAGGCTACGACGCAGTTTACAGCCTGCTATTAATTAGTATTCCTTTTTGGTCTCCGAGATTTTTATCTGTTATGAAGTGAGCTTTGAACATCTAACAGCAATATCATTGTTTTCATACAATTTATATTACATTAGGCTTGGGAGACCTCAACCAGTTTGGGGCTCGCTTTGTAATAAAAAGCTGTAGGCCTGTGGCAGATAACCCTTCGTTCTTAACCTTCTGTTGACTCCGCAGCATTTATATTACTTCTGTTTAAAGAGTTTTCTCATTCCAGTAATGCACTGTAATTAGGTACACGAGAGTTGGAGTATCAGAGCTGCGGTTTTCACCTCTGGTCTCGGCATTTTGCAGTGGGGAAGGGGCTACAGATGGACTTTTATCAGCATCTACAGCTGAACATTTGCAGAACAGCCTCTGTTTTTCTGCCTGTACCTTCTAACTTCAGTTTAGCTTTGGGCAGAAGAGGAGCTGGTTGCACAATACCTCTGACTATTTACCTCCTCCACATGTGGGCATCGTGAGAAACAGGACATTTACTGAATGAGGTAATTTGTTTCAAAGCAGGAGCTCTGAAGGGCTTTCTTTAGAAAAATCACTGATGTTTCAACCATATCCAGAGGGCAAAAAGAATAAAATAAACTCAGATGGCTGGAGCAGATTTGGTCAGGACCAAGAAGCTGGCAACTGCACGCCTGTTTCTCACTTGCCTGGTACGGCATAAATCACCTCCTGACAGCTCCTTGTGTTGCAGATAATTGCTGGGCAGGGGCAGCCCACAACAAAGCAGCACAGTTTGTGTGTTGCAACACGCCTCTCCCAGGCTGTGTCAATAGCATGGATTGTGCCTGTAGGCTCTGAACTGGTTCTGGACACCTGCTATTGGGGATACAGCAGCAAAACTACCTCTGAAGGGAAAGAAATCCTCACAGCAATGCTGTATAACCAGGGACCATTTGTTCAGTTATTCGTATATGAAAGCTGTGTGTGTGTGCGGGCACACATGCCCGACCATGCTGTGCCTCTGAACAGCAGTGCTGGCAGCCATTAAAACACTACAGTGTCAAACATGTCCAAAGGGCACTGGTGAAACTTGCACCAACCTAAAAACCTGCAAACCACACTGAAACTTCACAAGCCCTGCCAGCTTTCCTAGAACTGCTCAGGAGGAACCTTTGAACAGATCTTACTTTCATTTTTTGTTCTTCCAGCCTCTTTCGCCCTGTCCTGTTAGAATATAACGAAAGGGACAGGAATATCTCCTAAAAGAATCCAACAAATAAGATGTTGCCGACTCACAATTTCATCAGAAATCTCTTTGTAATTGGGGGGTTGGTTAGTTGGTTTTAAAGTGCTGGCTTCTGGAGCTGTGTGGTTTCATTAAAGCTTTGTTTTCTTTTTTTCCTCTTCATTTTTTAAAAAATTAGTCCTCATGGCTGCTAGGAAAAGGAAAGCATGATACCAAAATAGCTGAAGGGATTAGAAAAAAACAATCAAAAGGGGAAAAAAAATAGCATTTGAGCATTGCAGCTTTCAGAGCCAGCTCATAACACCATAATCATGCAGTGCTAATAAGCCCTGCCAGGCTGGACTTTGATCTGCACACAGCAGCTTGAAAGTGTGCAGAGCTGCTGCCTAATGAAAACTGCAAGCAGAAAGACTGAAAAAAGTAGTTTTCCCCATTTGGGAAACAAACAGCTTACATTGCTTTCTCTTTCAATTTATGCCAAGAGTTCCACTGGATGCTAGTTATTAAACAGCATTACGTGTACATGGCCAGCAACAGTGAGGTTTTTCAGAATTACTTGAGCAAAATTGTTACTTTGGGTTTCCCTGCAGCCTCCTGGATGGCAACTGGACCAACAGCAGGACCTTAAAAGGTCAGCAAGGCAGAACATTCATACCAAGTGGAATAACAAATGGAGAGATTATTTTTTCTCTTTTCATTTACAATAATCACAGTCTGTTTAGCCTTACTGTTACAAACTGATTTGTTCCAGGATTTTGCATCTGCTTCCATGAGAGTGTTCAGATGATTCATTTTCTCAAGTCATTGCCAGAGAGAAATTAAAAAAAAAAAAAAAAACACCAAAACCACTGAGCCATTTTAAGTGCAGGGACGAAGCAGCCCTCAATGTTTAACTGTTGGTTGTCCCAACAGCGCAACCCACAGCCGGGACCTGAACCGTGTCAGATGGGGCAACTTCAGACTGTAAGTTACCCCTTAGGCTTCCTTCTTTCAGTCTGAGATTCCTACAAATGCCTCCAACATGCTCCATTTCCCTAGGAATGAAGGAGGATGTGCCTGCAAAGGACTAAACACAAACTGAAGCAAAAATGTGTTGGCTGAAATGATAGTTGCTGCCTTTATTTTCTCACCTTCCCAGATGGCAGAGCTCCTTACCAGCATTTTGCACATACATCGCAACCGCTCCCTCCTGTTCCTGGTCCCTGCATGAGAGTTATCCGCCCAGCCCAGCAAGTCATCCCTAATTACTCCAACCTTCGTGCTCCCAAGGGCACCGCCGAGCGACCTCCCCAGAGGCTGTGCTCCTCCCCTGGTCCTCCTCGATTCCCGTGAGTACGCCTTGGGGGCTGTGTGCATTGGAAGCTCCTCTAATCTGATTCTCTGGGCTTTATACCATAATTCTGAAGCCTTGTAACTCTAGCATGCCAGGGCTGAGGGGTGCATGCGAGATGCTGGATAGTTTCCTTTATTTGCTACTTTACACACAGCGGGGGCCTGACCTTACCCTGAAGGACTTCAAAGGCAGTTACCTGATATGTTGTCACAGCGCACCCAGAAACACACGCGCTAAGGGAAGATAAATGCTGGAAGGTTAAGAGATGAGGGGCTGAAAATATTTCAGTTGAAACTTTAGAGCTCTCCTGCTCGAAAGCAAAGGTCAGTTTGGAGGCTCGCTGCAGACTTCAGCTCTATGGTGCGCCAGCCTGGGAGCCTCAGTCACTGGCTGTCAGCAGTTTCCTTCTTATCGCTTCTGTAGCGTAGAGAAAAATGGAGAAAATCTTGTCTGACACTGATATATCTCTCCATTGCACTTTGCAGCATTTTTCATGATTTCTCATGTAGTAATAAAACGCATCATATCTAGCACTTTTCAGCTGGGGCTTTTTGACTGTTTTTTAAATATTAATTTCCCATGCTTCTAGTCTCCCTCCCATTTTAAGTGCACCATTAGCAAGCATAAATTACGAAGGGTTTTCTCCAAATTCAGCTGCTGAAGTAAAACTGATGTTGGCACATCTGAAAAGCAGACCATTTTTATTTAAATGCCAAAGTACTTTAAAGGTATTAAACTTGTAGGCATCCATGTTTGGAAATCATTGAATGATAGAATCATTAAGGTTACAAAAGACTTCTAAGGTCATCTAGTCCAACCACCACATGTAGCCTTTTCTTGAACACCTCCAGGGACAGTGACTCCACCACTTCCCTGGGCAGCCTGTGCCACTGCATCACCGCTCTTTTTGAGAAGAAATTCTTCCTAATATCCAACCTGAACCTCCCCTGGTGCAACGTAAGGCCATTACCTCTTATCCTTTCACTATTACCTGGGAAAAGAGGCTGACTCCTACCTCGCCACAACCTTATTTCAGACAGTTGTAAAGAGCAAATGTCCACATACATGATACTGTCTTCATGGAAAAGTGAGAAAGACTAAACAAGACAGACAGTTGAAATACTGCACTGCTCTGGCCTGTGAAAGGCAGGGGGCTGCAGCAACAGCGGAGACAATTGCAATAAAGTGTTTGAATGAAAACATAGCAACTCTGAGGTACAGCAGATATCCTTTGCATTAGTGAAATTTATAATCAGACTCTTGGTTTTTGGCATATTTGTTAGCTGGGGAGAAGTTTGGGGAGGATCTGGAAATTAGCCACAGGGCAGTTTTTGTGGCCTATGATGAGGTATGTGTTGCTTTTCTTGGTGCATTCTTCTGTGGAAAGACATCCAGAATACCTGGGGCCTATCCTGTGTCTGTATTGCTGGTGTTTGCATGCTGGTTCCAGGAACAGCAGTTATGTGATGGTAATATTTGCCTATAGAGCATTTTGTAACAGAAAACATCTGTACCAAAATGAATAAACCAGATCTTAATGTGACAACAGAAAACATGCTGTGACCAGACTGTCATCATTCATTTAAGGAAGGCAAGGAAATAAAAGAGAGTGGGCTTGATTGACTAAATATCACTGCTCTGTGGGGAAAAGCCCTCAAAGAAACCTAACACTCATCCAAGAAATGCAGTCCAGCAGATTCAAACTACACCTCATGTAAAAATAGGCATGAATTCTCCTTTCTACTGACTCAACCTGTGAACCCAAAGCGTAGTGAGACAAGAACTGCTAAGCTTCCTAAAATCATTTTCTTTCTGTGTATTTGTTCAAGTAGAGCAGATATTAGGCAAGATTGCTGCGGTTCCAGAACACAAATTCCCAACATGAGAAACTTTTATTGGGCCTGCTGTTGCTGGTCAAGAAGTTTAACTTTTTCCCTTTAGCAAAACTTTTGAGTTTTGTCCAAAACTGGAACAACTCCTTACTGTACCACAGCTGGAGCTGGAGTGCCCTGTATGTCTATTTTCCTGCTCCTTGTGCCATACCTCTTGCGCAGCACAGGACATTCAGATAGCAGCTGTGCCATAAGCAGCTGAGTTGCCCTTTAGGCAATGGGAAGAGTGTGTCCATGTGCCATTCGGCTCCAGTACATGTGTAACGTCCACAGAACAGCATTATTTCTAGCTCAGAAATATTCTTTGCTTCTGTTAGTTGCAAACTGAGCAGTACTTACCTATGAGATAAATTTATTCCTGTGAATAGTGTTGCTTCTGCATGTCAAGAGCTATCTAGATCAATCTATGCCCGTGACAGGGGGGTAGTAGGCAGTGGGTCCCCTAGCCCCAAAAATGGAAAGGGAAAAAGGAAAGGGTAGGGAGCTGGGCTCAAAAGAAAAACAGCGGCAATAAACTGTGTCTTGTTGTAGACTGTCACCAAGGTATTGAGGGCTCAGATAAAAGAAATGCTATAATAACTAAGTAGAAGTGCCAAGCATGTTTTCAAGACTTTTACTGAGCTAATACACAAAGTTCTTAGTGTGTTAAAAAAAAAAAAAAAAAAAAATACCTGAAAAGAAGTAATTTATGTCCTTGCTTGCTATTCTTTGCAGAAACCAGTTGTACAACCAGCTACCTAACGGCCAGCTGCCCCAGAAGGCATGTGGCCCAGATGAAGCATGTTGTTGTCCTTCTGACAATTTTCCGTCTCCAGCTGCTGTCCCAAGACCTCTCAGTAACCCTGCAGCCAAGGGAACTCTGAGAACCAGCAATTTGCCGGAAGAGTTGCGTAAGTGCTTAGCAAATTTGTTCTGTGTGAGATCTTACAGATCAGCCTGACAACTTTAGGTGGGAAAGCTCCAGGGGTTGAGGTGGGGGTAGCAACATTAAGACACAAAGACGGTGAGAAAAGAAAATACTGGATGTCATCACATCCGTAGGGTGTGAGTGTTTATGTCTGGTGGAATGGAATTATTCCCTTGAATCCTGAAAACTTAATTGTCATTAATTGCTTGTTATTTTGTTTACAAAAAATAAATACTGTTTAGATTATTCTCATGACTTCTTGCTAAACAGAATGTCCCTTTGAGGCAGGAGGCACTGAAGCTTACAGTAAAAGATTAATAACAAACAAAGCCCCAGGGATGAAGTGTTTCTGCCTGTCCCAAACCAGACAAAAATGCCAAGTCTTGACCTCAGTTTCTCCCTGACCTGGTTAGAGGAGAGGCCTTTGGTTCAGGAGCCCACAGCAGGGTCTGCACAAGCTCCTGCTGAGGTGCCTTCTCTGCCTCCAGCCCCCCAAACCCTTCCGCTCTTCAACTCCTATAGGAAAGCCAGGTCTCAGAAGAGCTGGCTTCCTTCTAATGCTATGCTGGATGACCAGTGGGATATACCATAACTAACATTCCCTCACAGCTCTCCAGAGACCTCTGCTTTTCCTTTATTCATCTTCTTTTTTTCTCAATAAACTATGCAAAAAAGCCCCTTTCAAAGACCCACATTGCATCCTTCTGGCCTGAAGGAGTGAGTTGTGACATAAGTTTCCAGTCATGTGTAAGTTCCAGTTTATCAGTCAGAGTCCCCAGGTAAAGGCATTACTCGACAAAATGGCGCCATTAGCCAGCTGGCGTGCCTCGACCAGAGAGTACATGGCTCTTGAATTAGTAAGAAAACTCCTTCACTGTTGGCAGAGGTTGTTGAAGACATTGCTGTCCTCAGCTTTCTGGCCTGTCCTACACAGGAGCTGATGCTGCTGTGAGGAGAGGCTGGGCAACACGTGAGAGGGCTCCTGCAGCTCTCAACTGTAGGTTGCAGCTGGATAGCACGAACTGTGAGATAGAGCTCAACCTCATGAACGTGAAAGAGCTAGGGAAAAAAATGCTTGGTTTGTACATTCGTTTTGTAAATAATCTGCAGACACATATGTAGGCAGAACCCACAGCACAGTGGGAAAGGAAGGCTGTGAAAGTCTCACTCTTTGCATGGTGTATTTTAATGTGTTGCATGTTCATATGGACTCTCTCTTAGGCAAGGTCTTTATAACCTATTCCGTGGACACAGCAGTGGAGGTCATGAAATTTGTGAACTTTCTGCTTGTAAATGGATTTCAAACTGCTGTAAGTATACCTTCCAGAGAAAATGACAGTCAACCAGGGAAGAAAAGAGGCATTTTTAAAAAAAAAGCAGAGGGCACACATGTTCCATTTAAATGCTTTTCTGTTTATCATAGTATTTTGTAGATTAAGGAGGCTGCAAATGGAAGGAGCTGGCCTGGGTTTTAAAAGTTGTAACCTAATGATTTGCCATTTCATTTGCTCGTGCTTTAACTGAATTCTATACTTTGAAATGTCTTTTAATAATGACCCTGGAAAATTCCATTTAGTGACACCAGATGGGCAATAATAGGAGGTTTTTTTGTGAGCTATTTCATTAACATTGTCTCATATTTGATCTGAAATACCAATATTAAAAAAGGTCAGTTTTCACGTTCATCCCATCCTAGTGTCTGTTCAGAGATGCTATTACATCGTTGGTTCTTCAGATGTGAATACCTTTCCTCTGAAAACAGATCTAAAATTGGTGTATTTCACACAGCTTAATGAAACAGTCCATCTCGTGGTTTTTCTTTGTTATACTTTTAAAAGGGATTCAAAAATCACTGGCCTGATTCAGAAAGATCTGTGTCCTACTGTCTGATCCCATAAAGGGTCCAGATTTTCATTTAACCTCTTGTGAGTTTGCTTCTTCATAACTACCTCCTCAAAGGAGAGATCTCATAGAGGCTCTCGTATTCGGCATTCATCAAAATGTTGATTCATATTTTCCTATTTCAAGCGCATATGCTATCTGACCCCTCAACCTTCACTCTGGCTTCAGTTCAGGAAAGCGTTTAAGCAAGTGGCTATCATTAAACTGAATGAAACTCAGTGGGGGTTTTGCCCATGCTTATTTATTTTTGTGAATCAAAGAATTTTTCCAGAGACTGAAATTGTATTTCTCTCCAGCAGTTTTGTGCTATAGCCAATTCATAAGAAAGCTCTGGGCATCACGGAGATAGGGGCAGAAGGCTCATTAACAGCACCCCTATTGGACAGGCAGTTCTTGGTGCATGCTACAGAAAAATAAATACAGCAAAATGGCCCCAAAGCCAGGAAACAAATATGTTGGGAAGAAAAACCAACCCTTGATGTGGAACATAATTCTTCTGTCACAAGCTTGGAGAAGTTAATAATTACTCCATTGGTCACGGTCATTGACTGCCAGTTTCTGGGCTGAGTGTTCAGGGAAGAGAGCAGTGACGGTCATATTCAGTGCTAGGAAGTCCTCCACCTCTCTGCTCAGTCTAAAGCCTGGATTCCTGCATTCAGTGTCAGTGACCTGGCTGACCTCTCTCCACACATTCTGAAAATGTAATGCAGTATGAAGTTAAAACTGGACAGTATATATCCTATAGCCAGAAAATAGTGGAGCTTTGCAACTATGCAGATAAGAGAAGGTGGGCAACTGTCCACTTTCGTGAGATATTTATAGAGAGAAAAAAAAAATCCAGTTTATACATTTTCAGTATTTAATGTATACCAACAGGTTATTGCTTGTTCCAATATGCAAAAGTGTTGAGAGTGTGGGGGCTTGCACAGTTCTGGACTGCAGGGAAAAGGGGAGATGTTGTACATGCATGTGTGTGTGCATTTGTATACATGTGATTTTTCCTTCCTAAGGAAAGTAGGCATGCCTGTTAGAAACTAGGGAAAGAAGCAGGCGGCTGGGAACTTTTTCAGTGCCACCAAATGGGGAGGAAAAGCAAAAGAATGCTCACCACAGACTTTCATTCTCTTGCAGATCGATATATTTGAGGACACAGTACGAGGTATTGACATCATAAAGTGGATGGAACGCTACCTAGGTGATGTATGTAACAGCAGTTTAACCTTGTTGACAGCTGAGGTGACCTGAGGAAAATGGTTGAATTATTGTAATAATAGCAGAAGCTGAATTAAAATGCAAAATCCCACTCTGCCCTTCCCTGCTCTTACTGAAATGATGGAGGCCTGTGATTAAGGGCGTAGGCAGATCTCACTCACTTCTGCTTCTTACGGTCCCAAAGCTTTTTCTTTAAGAAATTAAGTGCTAATCCTGGCATTCCTATCAAATTCCAGTGCTGGCTGTTACACTGAGCCTGAAGCTACTATTGGATAAATTGTTCCTCTATCTCATTTTTAAATAGTGTGTTTCATCCGTGCATAGTTAAAATTGTTTCTGTATTTCATCCCAGGCTGCACAGTATGGCTAATGTTCATGCTGCTTCTCACCTGTAGCTTCTGTTATCTAAAAGATGGGAGGGTTCTTCTGAATCAACCATCTTATATGTAAACTGGAAATTGGTATTCTGTTAGTCAAGTGATAGGTTTGCTCTCATCATTTCGTGTCAATCTAAGCAATAAAATTTACATTGCTGTCAGTGCAGTCCCTCACAGCAGCTTTGGAAGTTCAAAGGTGCAGCAAGTGCACATCTCCTTTAGGATCAAGCCAGGTGGGCCCACTACACCAGCACAGCTGAATCGCACAGAATCACAGAATGGCCCGGGTTGCAAGGGACCTCAAGGATCATGAATCTCCAACCCCCCTGCCACAT